ATATGGGGGGCGTGTATATGTGGTGTGTGTATATGGGGGGTGTATATGGGGGGGTGTATATGGGGGGGCGTGTGCTTTAAGATGCCTTTTCTCCTCTGGGTTTGATGAGACGCCCGGTGACTTTAGTGCGGTGCACACACCTGCTCCTCCACGGGCGCTGCCCTCCTGAGTCCAGGGCACGGGGCCTGCGTCTTATGCCACAGTTTCAGTTTCTTAATATTGAAGAGATGCTGTCGCCTGGTCGTCTGCGTATGAACCGTGGCTGTCGTGTCCCCTTCTGTTTTCCAGTCTCTGACGTTAAGGTGCCGCTGCTTCCCTCTCACAAGCGGATGGACATCACGGTCTTCAAGCCCTTCGTGGATCTGGACACGCAGCCGGTTCTCTTCATTCCCGACGTGCACTTCGCCAACCTGCAGCGGGGCGCTCACGTAGGTACCCGGCCCCTGCTGCGGGAAGCGAGACTCGGGAGCGGGAGCCAGCGTTCAGTGAGCTGTGCCGCGCGGGTCGGCTCCGGGACTGTCAGCGGGCGGCGAGACGTCCTGGCGGCACAGGGAGTGTCAGCACCGTCGATCTGGAAGCGCAGTAGCAACCCCTCAACCCAGTCCCGTGTGTCTTTATTTCTGTTTAGCTCATTTAAAAGACACGGGGATAGTAACGTAGCTGGAGTTGGCGTCTTTGGTCTCGGGATTTAACTTCCGTGGGTCTGGACGGAAAGCAGAGGAGTGGGGGTGGGGCCGCCTCGAGGTGCGAGGAGCGGGGCTTCAGCCAGGAGTCACCTTGGCGCAGACGGCCGCGTCCCGGCACCTGTCTGTGCTGAGCTCAAAGAACACCCAACATGGTCCCCTGTGCACACTGTAGACAGATGGGGGTTTGTAAAGACTCGTGGTTTTCCGAGGCTTGGGGGAGGCCATTGCCAGTGTCCTCAGTTCTAATGAGCTTTGGCAAAGTTTTTCTGAAAAGGGTCAGATGATAAATGTTTTGGGTTTGGGGGGTCACATGGCCTCTGCTGTGACGGCCTCGCTCTGCGGCTTGTGGTGCCAAAGCCGGCGGAGCAGCACTGGCGACTGCGTGTGGCCGCGGGCCAGGAGACGCTGTGCGTGCTCGCGGGCGCCGGGCCGGTCCGGGCGCCAGCCCCGAGTCGGAGAAGTTCAGCTACTCTAAGGTCTCATTAGCGACAGGAGGGCTGGAGGACTGTGTGAGAGCTTGGCCGAATTCAACATCGTGTTCACTGTAGGGATCATTTCTGTGTGGCCTGAAACGTCTTGGGCATGCGCCTGAAAAGAAACCTGGTTTTTTTGTTTGTTCTTAGGTGCTCTCCATTGCCTCGGAAGAACTGGAGGGCGAAGGGTAAGATTTACATTTTGTTTTCTACAAAATTTTTTTTATCTTGAAGCAATCTTAAACCTCCAGAAGAATTGCAAGTATGGTAGAGAGATGTCCTTTTTTCCTGAGCCATCTGACCCGGTGGCCCATCTTTCCCACGTACTCAGTGGAGGTGCCCCGCCTCCGGGGGTGCTGTACTCAGTGGAGGTGCCCCGCCTCCGGGGGTGCTGTACTCAGTGGAGGTGCCCCGCCTCCGGGGGTGCTCTGCTGCGTGACCGCCAGTTGGGACGTTGACCCTGAGGCCCCGGTACCGTCGGCCCTCATCCCCGCTCAGGCTGGCCCGTTGCTCCCGTCCGCCCTTCACGGCAGGCGCTCACTGTGTTCCTCTGTCCTTTCTCCCCGCCCGTCAGCCTGCGGCAGCCTCTCTCCCCTTCAGTGTCCTGAGCTCACACTGTGCAGAGGACACACCATTGTTTTGTGGCATGTCCGCCAGGTTGGGTCCGTCCGTTGTCCTCTCCCGAGTAGATCGTGCGTCTTGGCGGGAACATCGGACATACGCTGCCTTCTCCGCGGGCCTGTCGGGCGGCCCACTGTTCACCCTGATGTCTGGGTTAAGGTGGTGTCGCCAGGTTTCTGTCCTGTGAGGTGACTCTGGCCCTTTGTGATGAGTGACTTATGGGGAAGGCGCTTTGTAGCTTTGTAGATACATCATTCTTCATCAGACTTTCAGTTCAGCTACTTATTTATATCCGTGTGGCCTCATGGTTTCCAGTTTTATTCAGTGAGTTGTAGTCTGGTGCTGTCATTCGCTTTGCTCAGATTGTCCCAGAGGCGGTGGAGCCCCTCCAGTTGCTCCTGGGTCCCTCCCGCGCCCCCGGTTCCTGGGCGCTTTTGCACGTTCGGGCAGCGAGTTCCGGGCACATGTGTTTTCCCTCCCCCAGCCCTAGATCAGCCTCTTCTCCCGGGACCCTGCTCCGTGTGGTGGAGAAGGAGTGGGTTTTAGAGCCCCAGCTGGGCCCCGGGGTACGCTCCCTACTGTTGGGGTGTTGCTGCTCCCCCAGTGTGCGGGCCCCCTCGTGAGCCCCTGGGGCCCTGGCTACCCACGCTCGCAGCCCTCCTGCTCAATGCCCTCCACGCTGGGGTCCCCTCGGGGCCACATCGCAGCTCCTCCTGCCCCCCACGTTGCCCACAGTGCCCCCAACCCCTCGTGCTCAGGCCTGAGTCCTACACGCGCTTTCACTGGAGGCCTGGTACATTCCAGACGCTGGGACACAGACTGTGTTAAGGCCCAGCCCCTGTACTTGAAGAGGTGATTCCGCTTCCTTCATTTTCAGTTATTTCACGGTTTTATTTGCTCACCCACACTAACCTCACACCGTTAACACCCGTAACTCACGCCTGTGACAGCCAGTCCTGCCCATCTTTTTCCTTCTCTCTCCAAATGCTCCCGCGTCTGGCGTCCCCACTTTATTTGCACCGACACCTGCAATGTAACCTTTAGGACCGTGTGCTGTGAGTGTCCCCAAAGTCTTCTCAGCGGCTCTGCCGCTGTGGGTTTCGAGTCACTTCCCGTCTTTCCCTCACACTTTGGTGGCAGCGTCTGTCCACACAGAACTCGCACCAACTCCCTGGTGCCCGCAGCGCAAACCTGAGATTCCTTGGAGCTGGTGGTCAGGCGCCTTCCAGGACAGCCCGCCCTGCCGCCCAGACCTGCCTCCCGGGCGGCCTGCCCCTGCCAGCCTGGCGCTGCGTTCTCCTGCTCGCGCCTCCCTTTTCTGACGCACCCTCTCCTTTGTCGGCACCTGTACATACATTTAAAATTCTACCTCCTCCGTGAAATGTTTCCTGAAGACACTGTCTTTCCTGGGAAGGCAGCCTGATCCGGTGTGGGAGCCGTGGAGGGCGTCAGGCAGGCCACCCGCATGCACCCCTGGCTCTGCCGCTCGGTAGCGGGGCCCTGGCTCGGTCAGTCTCTCTCTGGGCCTCCGGTTTGCGTCCGCAAAATAAGGAAGCTTCAGCAAATGCAGAGCGAGGGTTATTTTAGCCTAGAATTCAGGGGCATGCCCTAAGCCTCTCTCTGTTTCTGCAGGTGCCTTAGGTAGAAGCCGCTAATTAAAATTGTGCGTTTGTTTCTGCAGATCGAACCTGAAAAGGGGGCCGTACGCCTCAGAAGACGATTTTGTGATTCCCCCGCCTGCTAAGCTGACCCGGATAGAGGAGCCCAAGCGAGGTGCGTTGGCTCCGCGTCCCAGTGGGAGTGTTAACTGGGACTGAGTTCTGACTGTCGGGAGCGTAAGTTGCTCAGGCCCGTCCCATGCGATAGCCTGACTCCCTCGAGCGCCTGTCAGACCAGCCCCTGCTGAGCTCGACCGTGCGGCAGGCGAGGGCCGCTGAGGGCTGTGCTCCTCCGGCAGGTGTCGGAGGGGCCACGCGGGCCGCCCTGGTGTGGCGCCTCGCAAGTCTCACCAGCGCCAGGCTGTCTCCTCGCTCTGCTCACATGAATGACCGAGTCCTTTCTCTCCCCCGACGGCTAGTGCTGCTCTATGTGCGGAAGGAGTCGGAAGAAGTCTTCGACGCCCTGATGCTGAAGACCCCGTCCCTGAAGGGTCTGGTGGAAGCCGTAAGTGGTGTCCTTTGTGATGCTCTTTAGGAGTGAGACAGACTTGCACAGGGTTCCCCTGGACGGATGGTGCAGACCACCCAGGTTTCTCTGCGCCGAAATCTCCCAGGCCGCTGCTGCGTCCCAGCGCCTTGTCTGTGCCTGGCAAGAACAAAAAACTAAATGTAAAGAAAATCAGCTATGACCGTATAATACATCTGTGGACATCTGTAAAGTAGGGAAATAAAGCACCTGATTCCAGCTCCCGCCAAGGGCACGCAGCAGCCCTCCCCAGGACGTGGGCAGGGCCGAGTGTGTCTTTGCAGAAGCATTTGAAAAACAAAGTCGAGTGACTATCCCACTGTACTGATATATATGGTCAGTTTGTTAAAGCCCTTTAAACATCACTTTATAATTCTTTTTCATTGCTCTTCTCCTTTAGATCTCAGACAAATACGATGTTCCGCACGACAAGATTGGGAAAATATTCAAGAAATGTAAAAAAGGGTGAGCGCTCACTGGCATCCCTAGCGCCTAAGATTAACGTCATACAACGTTACTGCCACTGGCTTGCATTGTGCTCAGTCCAGAAACATAGAGACACTAATGCGAGAATGTGGGGTTTTTAATTACCCACATGACATCGGTCTCCCTTTCTACGACATCCTGGCGGCAGGACCCACTGTGAGGTTTCCCCCGACGCCAGCAGCCGCTGCCCCATGTAGATCCCCCTCGTGAGCCAGGCTGGGTCGGGCGCGTCCCCCGTGGCTTACTGTCCACGTCACCCTCTGAGATGGGTGTCACTATGCAGAGTTTATAGGTGAGGCAGCTGAGGCACAGAGAGCCTGAGAGACCCGCGCACGGTTAGCCCAGTGCCGAGGCCACGGGCCAGGTTAGGCCTTGACCAGCTAGCTACAGAGCCTTTGCTCCTGCCACTCCGCTCTCCGCCCTGGGTCGTGTTTCAGCCACAGGGCAGGGCTCCCTTGTCCAGAAATCGGTACTTTTGGTTCTGTTTTGTTTAAATGTCTGTGCTGTTTGTCATGGGTAAGCAGGGTAGAGCATAAATATTTAAGCTTAATTCTAAAGCAAATCCTAGTTGGCATTTTCAGATGGGCCTAGTGGGGAGGGTTGGGATCTGCCTCCAGCCCGAGTGGGACTGAGTGGTCTGTCTCGCCCTCCAGGATCCTGGTGAACATGGACGACAACATCGTGAAGCATTACTCCAACGAGGACACCTTCCAGCTGCAGATGGAGGAGGTGGGGGGGTCGTACAGACTCACCCTCACCGAGATCTGAGGGCGTCCGGGCCCACAGGTCCCACAGTCAGGTGAAGGTGTTCCGTCGGTCTCGTGGTTCGCCAAGCACAGGTACACCGGTCAGCCGCCTCCAGACACGCGCAGAGGCCGGTGGAAGGGACTCCTGTCAGCCTGGAGATGGCAGTGCGCTCGGCTGGGCGATGGCGCCGAATCTACTGCATTGGCGTTTTCTGATGACAGAGAAATCTGTATACTATTATTGTGTTTGAGTTTTCTGGTGTAAATACTTAGAATTAAGAGTGAAAACTTTGTTCTAGGATTTAACAGACTCTCTGGGAACCTTTAGGATATCTGCTATGTTATTTATAAAACTATTTTTTTATTACAGGTTACATTCAATGTTATGTTGTATTAGCTTCAGGCGTATAGCACAGTGGCCAGACCGTAAAAACACCGGGACATCCCCCTTGTCTCGTCACTGTTGGGCCTGCCTGCTCAGTACCACAAGCCGGAAGAGGCAGGGGCATGGCTTTAAGGATCTGGGCCCCGGCCTGAGCTCAGTGTCACTACCTGCCTCGGGTTAGTGGGAACCGCGTCCTGAGAAGAAGGGATCCCCCCTTTCTCCCGTAGCCTCTCATCTCCCCGCCACCCCCATAAATGTTTACTCAGCTAGAGCCGGTCACCGAAACCTTCCTCTGCAGCTTCCTCAAACACACCAACTGCCTTTCTCACGAAGAATTTCAGCTAAGCTGCCGCGACACTGTACATAAGTGCAATACATGTTCGAAGGCCTGTGTCTGTAAATGTGTACATACGTGTCCTATATAAATAGATAATATATAAATACGGTGTCTGTACATACACTGAAGAGATGCAGTGAGAACTACCTTGAAGACTTTGCCTAGACGCAGGGTTAAGTTATTTTTGATAACGTGTGCCAAGCAGATGGAGTACCGGGCCTGCGGGAATCCACGGGGACGCTTTCGTGTTCTCCCAGAGGCAGCAGCCAGCCCATATCCCAGAGCCCTCGGGCGACAGGTTTGCTTTTGAGACTGTTGTTGCTTGGATTTCTGCACTGTTTGACAAATGAAGTAAAGGGAAAACGCTGCTGCAGTCACTGCGACCCACGCGTGTTGTGTGCTGACCTCAGTGGCACGCGCCTAATACAGGGAACGGTGACCACAGCGCGACCCCTGCCCACCGGGCGATGCAGCTCCGTGGCGCTCTCCCGTCTTCCTGCGAGAAGGGGGTCACCACGTGTCAGAGCCCTTGCGCTTTCTCTCTCTGCTGACAGCTGTGGAAAGCATTCGTGGATTTATGAGACTTTATTACCATGGCAGGGGAACATTTTGTACACATTTAAATATATAAGAATACTGACAAGTGTAATTTTATAACATAAAATCACGGGTATCTTTCGGTTCAGGGAGCTAGTTCGTTTGTGTAAGTAGGGTTGGCAGTCATGTTCTTACGCCGAAACGGTCTGATGAAATACGTGAACTGAATGCTGGTTTCTAAGATAAGGTATCATGGGACACGGGTCACAGAACAACATTTTCTATTTTGTTTTATGAAATTGATTTTTGTCTCGTTTACTATTTTTAATTGTATCGTGGAAGATGTATTTTAAACCAAAGGGATTAAATTTTTATGTCTATTTTGTAATCTGTCATTGCCGGTTACTCAGTTGGGATGTACCCTTTCCTCGGTCAGGAAAGCAGAGCCCGAGATCCTGAGGTGCGGGGCCGAAAGCATCTCCCCGGCCTTCTCCTTCCTTCGTAGCGTGTGTCCTCCGGCCTCTCCCTTCGCCTTAATTTCTGCTCCCTGGTGTCTGACATGATCCCCGTAATTGTTTAGTTAGGGAGCCCTGACTGATTAACTGTTACGCAGTTTAACCACTAAAGCTGCAGGTGAACACTTTTAGACCGAAAATCTTTGTGTTCATAGTTTTTAAACATGTCACAGAAAACGTTTGGTTTAAAAATCTGCCAATAGTGTTTCAGTTCATCAGACTCTAAATTGAATGGCTGTTGTGAGCACATTCAGGTGATCCAGGGCCTGCCTGATAGACACTAAAATACGTTACTAATGAACAAAACCAAATTAATGATGTAGATTTCCTGCCACATCTGTGCGTTTTTCACCCCAATCCGTGGGCCACGAGTCAGGAATCCTTAGGGGCAGACACCGCTCCTGGTCACTCAGCCGTCCCCTCCACCCCCATGGGGGCCTTGTCTGGACCCTACCATTGCCACGGCTGCAGGGAGCCCCTGGGGTTCCCTCACACTGCCCCCCCATGTTCTGCTGTGTTTCTCCCTTTGTCACTTAACTCTTACTTCTGTCTCAACACTTTGCTTTCCCTGGAGTGCAGCCTCTCGCAGTCTCCCCGTGGGTGACCCCAGCTTCCCTCTGCAGCCTGCAGTGCCCCACGTGTGATAGACCTGCCAGCCCCTCGTGCCTCTCATCTCCCGGCACCTCTGGCGCCCAGCCCAGCGCTGGCTCCTAGCAGACGCTCAGTAAGTGATCTTGTAAGTGGCTAGTCGGTGCCCAAGAGGAGCCCAGTCACTTCCCAGGCATCAGCAGGGAGACTGGACATGAGAAGCTCTGAAATTGGCCGCAGCTGGACCTGGACCAGTAGGCCAGGGGGTAGGACTCGTGTTTAACTTGGCAATGAAGTCCCCGAGGCACTGCAGAAAAGCTGGTTTCCAGGGGCCAGTGAGCCACCGTGGGGAAGGAGTTCCCGGAGAAAGCAGGCGAGGGCCTGCAGGTCAGAGGCAAGCTGGCCGTCCCGGGTGGGGTCAGAGTGCGCTGACCTCCGTGACTGCCGTGCCCTGTCTTCCCAGTGAGGGGAGCTTGTTCCTGTCATCCAATGTGAGTGACATTTGCATCTCCCGCCAGCATAGCAAGCGGAGGCCGGCCAGCTAGTGGCATCGAACCTCCGCCTCCTGCTTTCCCAGGACCCAAGCCCAGGGACGGTCACTGCAGGTACAGAATGACAGGTGCACAGGTGGTCTCTCCTCCGTTCAAGTTCTGTCTTAGGCGCACACGCAAGTGCACACGCACCCTTGGTCCTGAGCCCCGTTAGCCTTCAGCCCCTTCCAATCTTCCAGCCGAGTTTTATTTTGTGGCGCAGGTAACACACGAAGGAACAGGCGTCGGCCTTTGGGGTAAGTAGTACAGCTCCGGGAGAAGAGGCTCTGAGGGAAGATGCCCAGCTTCGCAATCTCACTCCCCAGAGGTGACCTTGGACGGCTTCTCCGAGGCCACCCAAGGATCCTTCAGGAAAACTCGAGCCTGCTAGTCACATGGTTTTGCAGACAGGGTCCTGATATTTCTTGCAAATGTTTTATCTCTGCCCTTTGGATGGTTTTTTTAAATGACTGTTTTGAGTCCAAGCATTCTGTAGATAGTATCTTCCCGTCAGTGCCTCCGATGGACAGAAAACGCCCGCGGCAGCCGTCCTTACATACTTGTACAGGGAAAGCAGGAGAATGCCGAGTCCAAGAGTACGTTCAGTAAGCGTCCTGTCGATTGGGCCACACTGCCACCCACGGCGAGCCCGCCTACCCTCCTGCCTGTCCGCATGTCCTGCTTTGATCTGCGCTTTTCCAAGGGATCTGAGGTGTAACTTTGTGTGCCGTGGCCATTGGTACTTCATTTTCTGTGAACCCTGTGTTTACATCTTTGAAAAAATAATTTGTTCATTGTCCCAACTTATTTTTTTTTTAAATATATCTTTATTAATTTCAGAGAGAGGAAGGGAGGGAGAGGGAGACAGAAACATCAATGAGAGAGTCATTGATCGGCTGCCTCCTGCACGGCCCCTGCTGGGGACGGAGCCCGCAACCCCGGCATGTGCCCCGACCGGGAATCGAGCCTCAGTCTCCTGGATCATAGCTCGATGCTCAACAGCTGAGCCACACCGGCTGGGCCCAACTTATTTCTTAAGCACCTGAGGGCAATCTGACGCCCGCCCCTGCCACACCACTTACTGAGCTCTACTGGTCCCTTGGCAACCTCCAATCCTCACTGGGTCAGGTGAAAGGGGGGATGTTGCCCCGTGTCACAGATGAGACTCAGGTGCAGGAGATCACGCTGCTGGGAAGAGACAAGTAGGTCCAACTCCCAACCATTTCTTTCCACACTTTCACGCTGTTCCCACTAAAGATGCTCTTTCTGAGGTTCCCGATGACCTGATTGCCTATCTTTAATCTCTGGAAAATATGTGGACGGTACATAAGCACCTGAAAGGCTGCTCCACATCATATGTCATCAGGGAGATGCAAGTAGAAACCACAGTAAGTATACCACACAAGCAGCCAGAACGACCAAAACCCAGAGCACCGCCAGCACCAGGCGCCTGCCGGCGGCCTGTGCAGCAGGAACGCGGGGGGAACGCAACTCGGTGCAGCCACTTCGGGGGGCAGCTCGGCGGTTTCTCACAAGGCTAAACTTACGATCCGGCCATCGCGCTCCTTGGTGTTTACCCAAAGGATTGAAAACAGGTCCGCACAAAAACCTGCACACAGATGAGATCTTTATAGCAGCCACACCTGGGAAGCAACGGAGACGTCTTTTATAGGTGAACAGGCAAATAAACTGTGGTCCATCGAGACAATGGGATACTGATCGGTGCTAAAAAGAAAGACGCTTCCCAAGCCGTGAAAAGACACGGAGGAACCTTACACGCGTATGACTAAGTGAAAGAGCCGGTCTGAAAGGGCTACGTGGTGGATGATTCCAAATCTGTGGCGCTCTGGAAAAGGCAAAGCTAGGGGGACAGTCAGAGCAGCGTGTGCCAGGGCTTAGAGAGGCCGGGATGGATAAGGCAGAGCACAGCGAAGCTATTCTGGAGGATGTTGTGATGGGTAGATGTCAACCTGTGATCATACAGTTGCCCAAACCATAGAACGTGCAACACCGAGAGTGAACCCGACGTGAACCATGGACCCTGGGTGTCACTGCAGCAAATGTCCCACAGTCGTGAGGGGTGCTTATGTGTGCGTTTGGGTGGGGAGAGGGGATATGGAAACTGTGCTTTTCTATGAACTTAAAACTACTCTAAAAAAGTGAAGTTCTAATAAAAAACAAAATGTTCTCGCACACAGGCACAGCCTGTCCTCCCACGTCTGAGGTACCTGAGAGGGCTGAGGGCCCGCGAGAACCCAGCCCGCCATCCACTCCTGACCCGGGTACCTAAGCCCGAGGTCAGAGAGTGCTCCTTTTGGGGGGGCGCAGGCCGCCCGGGCAGCTCCCCATCCCTGGGCAGCGCCTGGGGGTGACCCTATTCCCAAGGTGTGTGATGTGTGCGGCCTGTTTGCCCAGGGCTTGGGCTCAGTCATGCAGGGAGGGTGGTCCAGGTGGACAGGGTGCCAGCTCCCTCTGCTGCAGCTCCCTGAATTCCGGTCCCCCCACCCCGTCTCCCCCCCCACGCCCACGTCCCACAGGGCAGACGGGGGCAGTGGGCGCCTTGTCCTCGGCTGCAGAGGGAGCACGAGGTGAGCCTGGCAGCCACACGGGCCGTTACCAGGTGCCCACACGGAGCACTTCATCTCTGTTTGCCACTCGGCTGTGATAAGAGAAAGCAAACATCCCACTATGGCTCCAGAGGACGAAGGTGCCCCAGGGACAGTAGCCCCTCTTTAGGAGGGCGCTGGGGCAGAGACGTGGGGGAGGAGGTTCTGCCTTCGCTGTGAAGTGTGGGGGCAGGGTCGTTACCTCCACTTCGTGATGCTGGCGGCCTGTTTGCCCAGGGCTTGGGCTCGGTCATGCAGGGAGGGTGGTCCAGGTGGACACGGCCCCCGGGCCTCCCCCGCACCACGAAGAGAGGCTCAGCGGCCTGCCCCACGCCGCAGGGCAGCCGACCAGAGCTGGCCCTCCGGCAGCCCTCTGCAGAGCCTCGGGGCGTTGGCTGTCTGAAGACGGGGTGTCCCTTCGAGTTTCCACCCCTCTCCCAGTAGCTGACTCCCTTCTTCCACTTCTGTTCTTGTGGAGCCTGTCGTCCGAGCAGTGTGCCCGCGCGATAGCGGTGGTCTGGCCCACTCCCTCGCTCAGAGGCCTGGCAGGCTCCTGTTTTCCTTCCAGCTCCCTCCCACGTTGAGGGGCATCTAGTGACCGCCAGTCCTGCCTTTTGATGGCCGCTGCCTCCGGGCAGCGCTGAGAGGGTGTGAGAGGGTCTGAGGGCCCACTGCCCGGGAGCTCTGGGCCACTCCCATGGGGCTGCACCTGAGCCTGGGAAGCTAGAGGCCATGGAGCGCTGCCCAGTACCTGAGAAGAGCACTCAGGGCGTGGCCACCTGAAGACTGCAGGACGCCTGTGTGCGCATGTATATGTGTGCACGCGTGCACGTGCGTGTGTGTGCGTGCTGCTTTGCTTCTTGGTTCAACACCTGTTGAACAGGCCTGGGGCATAGAACTGAGGTGTAACAGGGACCCAGGCGGTGGAACCTGCCCTCACAGACTCCTCACAGCTGGGACCAATCCCTGAGTTGGCCTCCACACCCCCACTGCTGTGCTGTGAACTCTCGGAGGAGAGACCAGAGGGGAGGCCGGACCCTTCCAAGCAAACCACCCAAAGGAAGGGTCTGCTGGCCTCTGCGGTGTAAGTACCCCCATCACGGCTGATTTCAAGCTGAGACCTGACATCAGTGGACATGGAATTGAGAGATGTGCGCAGTCAGCTCCAGCCCCCACCTGGCGGCCCGCCCTCCAGCTCGTGACGACCTGCAGAAACTGAAGGTCAGCTGCTCAGATAAGGTGAGTGAGCTCCGGGCGGGGGCCTGTGTGGCTGGAAGCATTCCCTCTCACAGGGCGAGTTTCGAGTTTTGGCTCAGCCTTATCTCCAGGGCAGCTGTCGGCGGGAAAGAACTTTGGAGCTGGCGCCACTCCTGTGCTCTGGTCTCTTCCTTTGAAGGGTGGAGACGGGACCCTGGGCTTGCAGACTAGAGCTGCTTCTCACTTCTGGGAAAACCAAGGCCACAGTGCAAGGGCTGCTCAGAGGACAGCTCCCAGTACTGTCCCTTAGCTCAGCCCCTGGGCTCAATCAGAAGTCCTCCACCTGAGTCCTGAATGGAGAGGCATGCATCTCTGTGAAGCCCTGGGGACTGGCCAGGGAGCCCTGGAACACCCTCCCCCCACGGCAGCCAAAAGAGTAAGGCGCCAGAGCAGTGAGGGCGCCACAGGGCAATGGCGTGGCCAAGGCTGGTGGCACCTGAAAGCGGTGGTCTCCAGGGCTGGGACTCCGGTTCTCGCCTGTTCCCACCAGCACTGCTTGAGTTCCGGCCCCTGTGCGTGATGGTCAGTTTTACCTGTTAGCTTGGCCAGGCTCTCGCCCAGGTCCTCAGTCATGCACTAATCTAGGGGTTGCTGGGAAGGGATTTTGTCCACGTGGTCAACGTCTACAGTCAGGGCCTGGAAGTGAAGGTCACCCTCGAGGATGTGGCTGGGCCTGACCCAACCAGTGAAGGGCCTGAAGAGCAAAGCAGAGTTGTCTCTGAAGAAGTAGAAACTCCACCTGTGGGCTGTGGCATCCGTCCTGCCCAGGAGGGCCAGCCTGCCCCCGGCCCTGTGGATTTCCCAGGTGCCTAACCAGCCCCCATGACTGTGCTAGTCAGTTCCTTCCAATCAATCTCTCTCTCTCTCCCTCCTCTCTCTGTGTATATATATAATGTTAACCTCATATATGTACATAAAAAGACTTGGGATTGGCTTCTGCAACATATATACACACATACAGATCTATGTGTGTATATATATACACACACACGTACATATACAAGTATATATACACGTACATACCTATGTATATCACACACATATCCCACCGGTTCTGTTTCTCTGGGGGACCCTCCCTGCCTAGTACACTGGGGGTGCTCAGAGCCCTGTGTCATGAGCGGGGACCTCAGTACTGCAAGGCCCTGGCTGCAGCCCCTCAGCCAAGACAGGAGCCCTTCTCTGGCTCTACGGGTGCAGCAGGCCTCCGAGGAGCCTCAGGCCGGGTCGCCCCGCGGTGCTGGGCGCTATCTGTGTGCTGCAGATGGGGCTGCAGGGCAGCCTTATCTCCTTGAACAGTTTGGGCCCGTTTCTCTTCCCTCCATGGCGGGCTTGGAAGATGCACCCCGACCCGTGTCCCCAAGTAATGGGCCCCAGAGCTGCCACCTTGAAGGGGGGGCAAGGATGTGGAAGGATTCAGGGGAAGAAGGGGGGGCGCTGGAGGGAAATACAAGAGCAAGGCTGACCTACACTGGCTCGTGCAGTGTGGACGGGGCCCAGGGGAGAGGGAGCCCAGGGCTGGGCCTCCAAGCTGCTGGAGGCAGAAAAGGAGAGGACAGGACAGTCAGAGGGCTGGCTTCTTAACTCAGCCCAAGGGGACTGGAGGGGAGGGGCTTGTCACAAGTGCTGACGGCAAAGGGCCTCCACCAGGCCAGGAGGGAGAACAGAAAAGCACAAATGAGGCCACCAGGCCACTGGCCGGTTTGGGACAGACGGAGGAGCACTGGGGTGAAAACGCAGGATGCAGGCCCCTTGCTCCACCCCCGGCATCTTGATTGACACTGAGAGTGGTTAGAGGGTGTGGGTGTGAAGTCCGAGAACCCGTCGCAGTGGCAACGCTTCTCTGACGTGGCCACAGGGGGTGTCTCAGAGGGACCGGTGCCCTAAAGCTTACAAACTGAAAAAAATAAAAATAAATGGAGAGGAGAAAAAACACACTGAAGACTATGGTCCAAAGCCCCAACTCACTCTCCTAGGGGAACGAGGGCAAGACCCTTGGTAAACGAGCCTTTAGCCCAACTCCAACCTGGACAGGGGGTGGAGACCAAGTCCCCCAGCCCCTCACGTCCAGGCCTTTGTGATCCACTCATTTTGCTCTGGATCGCTGTTCCCCCAACACACATGTGCACGCACACACATGCACGCATGTGCATGTGCACGCACACTTGCGCACACACACACATGCTCCCACACATACACCCATGCACTCACACACATGCGCGCACATGCGTGCACACACACACCGTTTCCTTTTTCCTTTCCTCTTTGAAGCTCGGCTCAGACGTGGCCAGGAGTTATGTCTGTCTACCTTGGGGTTCCCGCGCCCCGCACTGTTCCTCTGGCCTGTCCCCAATGTCCGGTCATCTATGTGTCCCCCTTCCTCCCCCAGACTGTGTACCAGGAGGGCAGTGGAAGCTGGCTGTCTCAGGCCAGCAAGGGTCCGTTGAAATGAATTAATGAGTACCATGTCCACTTTCTGAAAGGGGTGGGGGTCATTTAACCCTTTCATGTCCTCTAAATGAGGAGTGGGCGCTACACACGAATTGGGCCATCTCAGTACCCAACCCCAGTCCCCAATCTGGGCTGCCAGGGCCTCTGGGGCCCAGGGGACGTCTGCTGGAAAACAGAGGCTGGTTAAAGCCCATGTGGGCCGTTTTATCTGCACTCTGCCAGCCCATCACTCCCATACTAACAACGCCCTCTCATAGCCCAGGAGCGGAAACTGAGGCTGGGGCAGAGAGGAACCTCTGTCCACGACGCTCTCCCCCCTCTGCACTGGCTACTGAGGCAATCAGCCTGGGTGTGTCCCCCTGCAGGGGAAGTTGTGGCCAGGCCCACCCATGGCCTGAGGAGGCCTTTTCCCCGGGGTGGGAAGCTTCCTGCTCCTGGGTAGCAGACAAAGCCCTCCTGGGCCCCTGTGGGACAAGCAGCTTCCAGGAGCCCTCCCCACCTCCTCCCACCCAAGGAATGTGCTGGGCCTACCACACTCTCATCCCCTCCCTTCCTTCTCCACCCAGGGCTTTGTGATGAGAGCCAGGAAGCGGAGCCTTGGGAACTTGAATGGTCTCCAAGCCTTGCCCTGAGCGTCTGGGCAGGGCGAGTGTGGCCTGGCTGCAGGGGAGTGTGCTCTCTGAAGGCCCGGGACCACCCAGTCTGGCCGCACAGAGTGTGCTGCCCTAGACGAGAGTTTGGGGTGCCACCCCCTTCCCTGTGGGACGCCAGCCCCTGCCCCTGCCCAGGTCACATCCGGGGTTATCCATGCACCCCACAGTGTGAGGCCCCAGCTGCTCCCTCTTCCCAGGCATAAAATTACACACACACTCACACACTCACACACTCACACTCTGGCTGACGTGAGTGGAAGATTGGGCCCAGTTAAGCAAAAAAAAAAAAAAAAAAAAAAA